ATGTATAATTTTTTAATAAACTTTATTGTAAAACTAAAACGAGAAAGGTGTTACATTTGTTGTTTAAGGTACTGCTATTAATTACAGAGCCAATAAATTAAACATTCCCGCTCAAACATCTATAATAGTTTTATAAATACTGGCTTCCTTAGTGATTCGGATGAAAGAATGTTCTCAAGATTCGGAATTATCATAATCGTGACAAACGTCTGAGAGAAAATGAGAGATGAATCGCATGTTAGAAGGACAACGTTAATTATGGGTGTGGAAGGATACACCGGTAGAGGTAGACTTAGAAAGAGATGTGTGGATTGCGTGAAAGGTGACATGATCAAAAAGGGTGATGACTGAGATGACGTATGATAGAGTTATGTGGAGGACCAAAACCTGCTGCGCCGACCCTACAGGAGTAGGATAAGGAGGAGAATGATGATGACATTCGTCTGAAACTTATTTGATTTGAAGATTTTATAGCAATAGATATCTTATCAAGTTGAAACGTTAAAAATAAGGTTAATTAAAATAGTTTTATTTGGTTCTCATTTAACATTCAAATTACTACACTTTAGTGAATTAGGAAGTCAAAACCACATGGCGTTTGATTATAAGTTGTGATTACGAGAGATCAGTTCCACCAGGAATTAAGAATTACTTACATTAAGATAAACATCTGAAGTGGAATATAAGTAACGTTACCATAAATTAAGATTGGTATCTTCAAGTTGGCTTTCTTTTAGTAAGTACTTAAGTAATAAATTAAATATTAAGTTAACTGGAAAATGTTAAGGCTTCGTATATTTCTTAGCCTATAACGAGGTTAACATGTCCGAATTCGTAGTTGTTTAAAGTTTTTTTCTATTTTATAAAATGCTACATGGCATTGAATCACGTTAACCACCAAAGAAACAATTTTGCATTGCTTTGTCACAGACAATTGATTAGTATCTGTTCAGTAATATTTGCACAACGAAATCATATCTGTTTTTTCGATCGTACCACAAAGGTGCCGTATATCTGATATGGAAACGATAGAGTAAGCTTTGCGGTTAGCCTTTAAAATGTTATGTGGATTTGACTTTCGTAATGCTAAGAATAATCATAGCCTAAATCATACATGATGTCATATCAGGAATTGAAAAGATTACACGATAACTACAACTAGTAAGCAAATAACTAGTAAATTTTTAATGGTTGTTGATGAATGTATTGGCATAGGCAACCGCAGTTAATTTAATTCATTTATTCCAAGTAACAATGCTTTTACAACATTAAGGGCCTGTCCCACAATTCTTGTAAATTGTCAGATAACAACCCAACGTATAAAACATGTGATGAAAATATCGAATTTTGGTACTCTCTCTCTCTCAGTGACGTCACTTTTAAGCTATCTCTATCAGCCAGTGGGATAGGCCTTAAGAAAATTACTGTTATAATATTGGAGAAAATTTTGAGATACATTCACTTTTACAATCCTTAATGGTCTCATTGTTTCGACAACTTTTGTCTTGATTAATTATAATTCTCATATATCTAATAACTGGGTTGTTTAATCTGTGGGAATGTAATGAAGCAAGTTCGTTGTCAAATTGATGTTATAAGGCTGGATGAATTTGAACACATCTCAAGTTTTGCGACATCTTTACCCAAGGCCTAGTTCTGCATTGTTTGATACAATAATGTTGCATTTATACTTTTTAATTACCTCTAATAAGGTTTACTGCGTTAGATTGTGTTGCATTTTGTCTGTGCATTCGTAAATACAAACAGGCATTGTCTATTCGTTACGTTCTAATTAGTTATGTTTCCAAGATACAATGCAATAGGAATCACATTGTCTTCTCTATTCCCATAAACCTTATGAATGGATTACGTCCTTACTTATGCGCTTAGCTATCTTAGCTGACCGAGGATTATAATCTAACAAGGATTTTATCAAATTCCTTGTCGGGTTTTATTTATATGAATTATCGTTAAACCCCATCTAAATTTGAAGACCATGAGCTCAATCTCGTGCTCGTAACAAACATTTTTTATGATTTTTTCATACGCTATCCAAATAAATGTAGATAATAAAAAAATAAGATTTAATGTTTATTGACTTTAAACTTCGAAAACTTTGTTAAAATGTCACTCTTTTTCTGAGGTTTAGCTATCTTAGGAAGTGGCGTCGACGGGCGTTCGTGGCTTTTAGCTGGGCATTTAGAAAATTGCCGTAGATATTTGCTATTTGTGATAAAATAATAGTATCAAATTAAATAGTTTCTAATCGCCAATTGTTTGATACTGGGTATATTTCAACTTATAAAGCAATATAACTTTCGACAGTTGTAAAACATTTGTCATTTTATTTTTTTAATGTTGTAGAAATACCCAGAGATCATAAAAATATATTCTAAAGCTATAAAATAGTGTCACGGTACGTTTAAGTAATGAAATTGCTCTTTAATGTTAGCTACAAATTTTATTAACTTAACGATAGTCGTAAAAACGTACATTTATCGTATTAAAAATTAACTTTAATAATTACAACATAGTACCAGTAACTCATTTATAATTGTCATTAGGATTAGCAAAATCCGAAGATAAGATATTTTGTAATAATTCTAAAATCATCATCTCCTTATCCTATTCCTGTAGGGTCGGCGCAACAGGTTTTCGTTCTCCAAATAACTCTATCATACGTCATCTCAGTCATCATTCCCTTGTTAATCATGTCACCTTTCACGCTAACCATCCATGTTTTTCTAGGTCTACTTCTACCGGTGTACCCTTACACACCCATAACTAACGTTCTTCTTGTAACATGCGATTCGAAAATAATGTGAATTGTAAAAATGACGTAATAATTTTAAAATATAGGGCGATAAAAGTTCGATTTTAAGTGAATTAATTTTAAAGGTTCTATAGCTTGTGAATTATAAGAAAACTAGCTGTTCTCGAGCTGCTTCATCCGCATGAGATTATAAAAACTTTATTTTATTGTTTACATTTGTCACATTCTCAATTGAAAATGTCACAATTACCATTATTATAATAACCTTGCTTCCTTAATGTTGGCAGGTTGTAGTTCATGGTCCCTTTCCTATATGAAGCTTACGCTTACCTTACGCTTTATCATATTAGTATAGATAAACAGTTAAGTACTTGGCACATAACACGTAATGGGAAATTTGTTCTTGCAATTTACTCATATGCAGTTTTTTAACATTTCTTTACAATTAATTTAAACCAAAGGTCATATTTAAATACGCGATTGACATAGTTTTATATATCCGTTATATAACGTTTATCGCGGATATGCGTTCGACATCTTCAAAGTTTATAATGAATTTGTATTAGTTTCGTAACATTGTTTTATTAATTCAGTTTACCAAAAGTTTCCGTGGTTTAGGCAGATATATTATTAAATTGCATAACTATACTGCACAGATAGAGTATTAGTATAGATTTATGTTATTTATTTACATTATTTTACCTAAATTAAAAATTTTAATTACGAAATTGATAAGATTACTCTTGATTTGCAAATATAAATTTTAATTGAACGCCAAAATTATGTAAATCGATGAACTGTAAACTCTATAGTCGGCAAGTAATATGCTATTTTATTTTGTTTTGTGAAAATTAAGATTGGATTGAAAGGAAGTATTCAATACATTCAAAATACCTTTTAATGAGGTTAATTCTAAGAGTTTCGGTCAAACGAAGTTAATAAATTAAAATAATAGAATAGAAAAAATTGTTTTTAATAACAATGTTATAACGCTATAAAATCTTTTTAACCCATAGTTAAGCTTAAATAAGTTTCTATGAACATGTTATTTTGCTTACATAACGTTTGCAAAGTGAAAATTTGTGCAGTCACCAAGAAATACATATTTGCATTTTATCGCATTCTTTTACTACATCTTATCGATAATCAAAAGTCATGTTGAATAAACACTAGTCGATGCAAGCTTACTTCCGATGTTATGCATTTTGTTTAAGATAATGTAATGGTACTCTTTATTTATGGAATATAAGCTGTAACTATCCAGTAAAAAGGTTAAAGAGCTATAAATTCTGACACACAATTTAGTATGTTAACGACTGTATTACGTAGAATTAAGACATTATCGTCATTGTTAAATTCTTAAGTACCGAGATGTTTGAGAGTAGATTAAAGAATTATTGATTGACTTTTTACAGTTCTTGTACATTAGAAGAACGTAAAAATGATATCATTGTATGTATATACATACACATGTAATATTTAACATTTTAGCAAAGGTTTTCGTAAGTTAGTTTCACCTAAATCAAAGTGTAGGGCGAAGCACCGCGCCGCGCTATACGAATCCTTAACATGTCTCTTCCGACGCGTGTAAACAAGATCGCATCATCACGCACGCATTACGTCACATCAAAGAAAGTTCAATTTATATCTAATATTTATAGCACATTCTATATGCTAATTATGGAATAAATTACATCATAATCCCGTTAACATCATAATAAAAATTTTCTAGATTTATATGAATATAATTGACCTGTCACGTCGCGACAAAATTTGCATATTGTCGTTAATCAATTATTAAATAAAGCTACTCAGAGAAAGCTCAAGTTCCATTATTATAAAACGGATTATTACATTTTACTTTTTAATTGCGCAATTGATTATAATAAGACACCCAGTGAAAGTAGACAATTCTGTGAGATGACAGTAATTTGTAGTCAGTCAGTGTGTGGGAACATTGCCAATTCAAGTTGGAATCATTTGGCATAAAATAATAGACTTCACGGTAATTATATTTCGATAATGGTATGTTGTGAAAGCATCATCTTTCTAAATGACACCTAACAATACTAATATAAGTGTGAAATTACGATTTAAAGATGCACACACACTCACGAATCTACTGTACGCAGAATATGTAACATAAAATATATGTCCAATTAAAAAAAAAAAATATTTCACATCACTGAATAAACACAGCTTTAAAATAATAATCACGGGTACTCACAGGGCGCATGGTGTCGATTGTATGTAGTACAGACTACTACGGGCTCGTGGTAGAGTGTACAGTGGGTCGCCTGCGCACCGGCGGTCTCTACGCTACACAAAACAACACTAAAGTGGTCTGCGGCGAGCACATCTCTGCGCCCTGCCACCACACGACCCCGCTGTACACCCGACACCCAAGAACAAGGATGTTTTGACACGACTTCGGTCATTTGTTTACAAATGCAGTTAATTTTCACGCATTGTCCAATGTTTATGATATGCATTTATACACACTCGCGTATTGCAACGGCAAATTTTAAATATAAACTTCCAATTTTAATGACATAGAGAACCATAACAAATTCCGATAATTCAATGCCGTTCCTGCTTTTTTATCGTGTAAGATACTAAAACCTTAAGATTATCGGTAAAGTTCCCTAATACCTTATTTCTGTAGAGGTAAGATTGACTTTAACCAATATAACAGTGCAATGCAGAAGGAATTATTATGAAAGGATGAAAAAATTAATAAGTGAGTTACAACTAATCACTTTGATATGTCTCAGTAACTTTCCATGTTGGACAGTAAAACACACAAGTGCACGACGATTCGCAACGTAACATAATCCGGTACAAATTACTGGCCCACATATCTACGTAATTACACCGCCATCTGTCAAATGCCACTGGTCTTAATGGATTTATCGATTTCGTAATTTAATTAACATTATATTTAGTATATTTGTTCTAATTAATTTTATATTCTTTGTGAAAAGAAGTACATTCAGATTTTCGTTTTAATTTTTTCAAAGTAGAGATCTGACTCTCAAAAGAACTAAATTTTTGTTATAAAATATATAAATATTAAGGAAATGATCAATAATTTCTCCATTTCTGAATAACTATGAATAAAACCGGCGAGATGACGTATGACAACTTTTTATTTGTCATGTTTGAATAACGGAATCCATCCGTGAGCAGAGTTAAACAGAACCTGTAGTTGCGTAACGATTTGTATTCGTATGTAACGTAATTCTACAATAAAATTCGTCACACCCACATAACGTCAGCCATCACCTCATCTTTTACTACACTTTGTAAGCAAGAGCTTTAATAAGACAGTTCAAATCAAGTGCACGATATCATGAAGTGCATAATATACTGTGCTCTTTGTTGATCATGTAAATTAGTTTTTTAATTTTAACCGAGCTGATGAAGAAAGGTAAGCTTATGTAGTTAGTAACTCATTATTCTTTATTACGCTGTGATAAAAAAAGTCGCCCTTAACCACAACAAAATCGAAATAAAAATAGTAATTAAAAAGTAAAAAATCAATAAGAAATGTAAAAAGTCATTTAAATGTGTTTTCCATTATTTCTCTAGCTGATATAAACTGCAAGTGTTATTTTTACTTAATTATTGACATATAAAAGACTTCAACGAGTTCGCAGATAATGCTATTTAGAAAATGTAGTTAAAAAATCAAACTAAGCAATCTAATGCACGGTTAAAAGATTATCTAAAAGTATAGACGTCATAAATGTATTGTTTATTTCATCTTTATATTTAATTTTCCAAAACTTTATAAGTTAGAATAATAAACATATTACTTAAAAGTTTAAGTCGTTGGCTTTTCGATTACAGCGAACATCGTAAATTAATTTCATTATGTTTCAGAAAGAAAATGCACATCCATACTTCAAGAACTGTGGATCGGAATGTTCGTAGATAAAATGTAATGAATGAACGGGCTCCGGCAGTGTTAGGGTCAAAGCGCCGACCGGTCTGCTCAAACTCCAAAGGAGACTTTCTTTTCCGTGAACTTAGCTATGTTTCTGAACTTGTATGAGCGGTGCGAGTAACGTAAGTGATTGACAAATATTTCACTTAACTCATTGTTACCCACGCTTGTTCGCTTGAAACAGGTTGTGTGTTTGTTTACGAACCTGTGTGTTAGTACACTGTTACCTCAGTATATTTAATGGTTTTTCCTATGCTATTTTCAAATAACTTATTAAGAAAGCTGAATTTTCTGCTCAGTAAGTGAAGAAACGTAAAAAAATGTATATCTTCTTTATCATATGAATGAAGATATAGTTGTAATGTTTTTTTAGGTACTTTGAACAGCTTCTTCGCAAAATTAGTAAGCGCATAATTTTATTACATTAAATTAATTTCATTTATACGTACTACTTATCTTAATGAAGTATTTAAAGCTACATAAAAGCGCGCTAAGTACTATTGACTGTAAATAATCGATTGATCTGTCTACAATTAAAAAATTATCCACATTCATTACTCATAATAAAACAAATGAACCGAATGACGTATGTTTCTTGATTGTATTGTGAATTTGATGAATTTCATCATTAATAATTATTAAATGGCGCCTAATCAAAGACTGTCAAGCGAGGTGCGGCATCTTTTGTATTGCAATCATGTTCGTTAAGTAGGATGTCATTTATAATGATACGCTTAAAGGTCAGCAAAGGTCATAACTTGATTAGTAACAATAACTAACGCTTATTAGCGTGAGAACCTTTTCCATACCTTAAATAATAAAAGAAAATAAATCGTGTAACATGGATTTCAATTTGGATTGTTTAAATTTTTACACTGAATCATTTCGAGACATTTCTAAATTATGAACATGTCTATGATAAGCTACATATACTCACAATAAACTTATATTTATGACAGTGCTTAACAAGGCGAGACAAATAACATAAATCGTTGAGGTTTAAGTACTTAACAGTTTCGTTAAATGTTTAATTTGAATAGACCGCAGTTTTATTACTACTATGTCATTAATAAAAGTCAAGAATGTTACTTCATGTCATAATTTATCAGGTAATGCAGTATTTAAAATTTAACAATTAATAAGTACCATAGCATCGAATTAATTTCATAATAAACGAGCTGATAGTGACGTTAGTACGTTATTTATAAGTACGTTATTGAGTACTAGCTGTTGCTCGCGATAATGTCTGCGTGGAATTAAAAAAATAATTGACAATACAGCTCGTTCGTAATTAAAATGACGTATAACGTAGCTTTTAATAGATGAAAGAAATTTTAAAAATACAATACAAAATACAAATTATTCCTCTTTATAATATCAGCATAGGTACAGATTAGTATTTTATTAGTGTGACAATCAATATTTACAAACGTCAAAGATAACTTTGTCTTCTATACATTGTTTAGCATAAGATATAAGCTTGAAAAGTATTGCTTAACTTTATATTAATGAGCTAGTTACCTGTAATGTTATTGATCGACGCATTCCCTAATCAGAGTTGTCATTGAAAGTAGTAATAATGATGAACATACGAATAACATATTTAAATATTTTTTAGTGAACATATCATTTTTTTTCTTGTAGCCGATTATTCTTACATTCAGGATATTTAAAAGTTGTGCACTGTATAATTTTCAATAAATTAATTTAAATTTCCGTTTCTATAGCGATAAGTGTAAATTTTAAAAGTGATACTGATATTAAAATGTTTTCGCTACACAATTATGTCAAAACTTGCAATTGGATTATGATTTTGGATACTAGAAATTTGTAAATTTCTGTACCATCAAATATCAACGGAATCAGGATTAAGTATTGTTTAAAAAAAAAGATGTCACGTCTTGTACAGGCGACAGTTATAACGCTTCTTAGACATTCAACTGATGGGCTTTCTCCGACCACGTCATTAACATACGCACTGTACTGTTAGTTTTAACAATTTCACCGCACAGTCTGTGCCATCTACCAAACGCCTAATTACACGCCTCTTAGTTACTGTTTGTTCGCCTTTAATGTTCATTGCCATACGTAACGTCTAATCGCAAAACTCATACATTGTGTACGTTATTACATAATAATATGTACTTACAAGTACATAATTGTATTTAAATTACGCGTGTTTATACTAAGACTAACACACAAGCGTTTTATTATATAGATATTTACATAAAAGAGTTATGGAGAAGAATTATAACTACAAGTGTTGTATAAGTTAATTCTATGCAATGCAACAACTTAAACAATTGATTCAGATAACGAAAAAAAAAATTGAAAATAAACAGAAGTATGTTTAAAATTTTTCAAGAATAATTTCTATACGAATGAATGAAAACTTCCGATATTTTCACATTCTTGTAGGTTAACGTTGAAATATTTTCATTTTAAATTCCATTTAATTTAACACATTAAGTAAGGTAATACATTAAATTACGTCGTCACATATTAAGAATGCGTGGGTGAAACAAACCAGAAGGGACAAGTCCAATAGAATTTAGATAAATAGTTGTAATAAAATAACGGTAGTGAAGAACGATGTTGATATCATCAATCTACTGATGCATTAGATTAACTAACTGGATATAACGAAATCACTAGTGGTATGCGGTAGCATAAAAAATAATAAACAAGATTTCTGGTGACGCTAGTGTAAAGGTAGAGTAGAAACATTTTAATGATAACTTTTTTCTCGATATATCTTGAGAGAAAGAAAGAGAGAGAGAGAGAGAGAGAGAGACTCGATATCTTTATCAAATATTTGCCACTTATCATATGATGTTTAACATAGTAAACTTCTATAGTGAAATAGTGAAAACTATAGTGAAAACGCAAGGACGTCTGTTCAAGGGCAACCTTTGAATCTGACACTCGCTAATGAAAAAGCTTTTATTCCCGTCTCGAACTTATTTAGCTACTTTAACTTAGTATTATCTGTGTACGATGTCAGTTAACATTTTAATCAACTAATGTGTCTTTATATACCCTTTTATATACCGGAACAATTGTTACAATGTACGTCTTGCCAAGTTATCTTACTAATAAAATAAATGCGAAAGTTAGTACATAGGTACTGACATATATCTATCAAAACTTTGGTAGATAGTACCTGTGTATTAAAATAAATATGATGAAATATAAGTGCAGTTTTCAAGAGAAATACTCATGAAATAACATTTTGTGCTTAATTTAACAATTATCAGATATAGCAACATTTATAGTTAGAATTCAGTTAACAGAAGTGACACACACCTAAATGTTAACTCCAAGCTTTAAGTGTAATAAAAAATTTATGCATATTCTTTGTTGAGTGGCGGCATGTAGAGAAGCTGCGCGAGGTTGTTCCTGGCGTAGCGGCCACGCTGCGGCGCGCCGTGCCCCGGCCGGCCCCACCAAGACGACCACGTCGCGTGGTGACGACCCACCCGCTCTGCAGAGTCTCGTCTGCTCTCCTGGTACCATAACGAGAGGTAAGTTAATATTTGGTATAATTATCACCGCACTTACAGTCCTAGTTGGTCAATAAAGGTAAAATTAAGCTTGTATCTATACTGATACTAAAAAGTAGTAATTTGTATTTTTCTATGTATTGAAAAAACTCAAAAACTATTGGACCGATTTCAAAAATTCTGTCACCGATAAATTGCTACGCTATCACTGAGTAACATAAACTATGTATATTACAATTTTTATTTTCGCGCAAACGAAGACGGGAGCAACAACTAGTCTATTATACATTAACTACACTAGGGACTTAAGGATTCTGAGTGTTGATAACATTTCGCTACATAGCACACTTACTTCCTTCATTTCAGATTTAACTCGCATTTGCAGTTTTAGTTGTCTTAAGTAATCGTCGTCCAGCATTTCGCGCCATCTAAAAAGAATATTGTATATAGATTTTTATACACTTTTTTGGATTAACATTTATTTAAAAAAAAATCGTGTGTGCTTGTAGTGAGTATATTTTCTATGTGGTAAGTATGTATCTAGCTACAAGATATGTGACAACGATTTCCACTCATTGTTCGAACCAAAATTAAAAAAGAAAGCGCCTTGTATGTCACATATGTATGCGAAATGTCACCGCGTGGGCGACTGCAGATATTGAATATTATTAAATAAATACTCGATGTGAAAATTAGGTAAGTTTTAGCATCAATTACCATATCCTTACAAGTAGATTTTTTTGTATTACTGTATTTAACTTTAAATTTTTAAGAAACTGTTTATCATAGAGATATGACTTAACAAAAAAAAATTAAAAAAAAAACCTCTTATGCTCATATCTGATTCGTTGCACGCAATTTATGTTTCAAACAAATATATTCATTAGTTTCAAATTTTTAAACTAACTCATACTATCCATGCAAAGTGTACCGAAATAACCTCCACGCTAACATTAACAGCCGGTAAACTTCTTTGAAAATTAATCGCATATTTAACAGGCAACTCAATCAATAAAACTTTCGCATTGACCATTAAAAAGATTTATACTCTACCGAAATTATCAAAGGGCTAAAATTCATATGTTCACATAATCTATAGAAAGCTGAGAATGTCGTAATGTAGACAGATTCATTCTCGTTTGACATTCTTGTTGCCAGGGTTTGTTCTTACTCATAACACACAAACATCACGTAGACTGTGCTGTGCGTACAAATAGTATTGTCCGAATAGAACGAATAATGAATCATTGTTAGCACTCAACTGCGACAAGAGAATTAATTCCATGATTTAAATATCATACATAGGTCTTATGTGTTTTACTAGTGTGTTTTTGTAAGCCTTTAGGCGGTGGAAACTCAGGGTAATATGTTACAAAACATTTGATTAATGAGTTACTAAGTAAGCGATTGCCAGTTTACACAAGATTATATTTTTTGTACAAATCGCCGGAGGGACAAAGCATTTGAAAAGTTTAAAGTTGCGTTATAAATTAACATTTACAGATTAACAAAATCCAATACAGATTGTTAAACTTAACAGTTGGAGGAAAAAAAGTTGTTATTTATTATCTAAAAAATACACAGATAGTTAAATTCTTTTAGTTTTTCGTTTTATAATTGCCATTTATAAATGCTAGTTAGGAGGTAGAGACTTTTAATATAGACAATGTAATTAACGACTTCACGGAATAAGGGCACTTAATGTCATATCTCCACTCCCTAATTTTTCATATTGTGTACCTAAAGGCAGACGTTCTTAGGCCCTTCAGAAAATGAAACAAGTGAATATTCATTAGTCAATATTTAACATTACATTATAAAAGTTCAAAGTTTATCTTAAAAAACACGTAAAGAGAAAAGGTCAAATACGACCATACGATGATTAAAAACGATTATTCTTTTTAAGTGTTACGCAGATACCATAAAAGCGCAATATTACACAAGAAGAACGCTTGAGGCAACATCAGAGATGTCATGTTGTATTCAATTAAATGACAAAGGATAATGGTCTTTTGTGACTTTGTTAGCATTTAGAGATTACAAATCGATTCAATACTCACTGACACGTCTGCTCCGGGGGTCGTGTCACATCGCTGGATGGCAGTGTGCGCGCGCCGACTCGCCTGCCTCGCGCCAGTAGTGGTACAAGTTCTATACCTCCCGTCAGTCGCTGTATTGTTCCTTCTGGTGTTGGCTTTTTCTCTATTGCACCATTTGCAGTATTGTCAATATGATCGACAATAGACTTCGTATCTCGCCTTCCATTAACCAATCGTTTAACTACACCTTTCCGATGACTTTTATTACCGTTATTAGAACCATTTGATTCTTTTAACGCACTATCGCGGGCTTTCTTCATATCAATGTTGGTATTCGGACTTGATTGGTTTGAAATGTCTGGTAATTTTTCTCTTCTTGATTTATTGTGTCCGTCTGACCAACGGTCTTTTAAATCATCATCTCTCTTTACAAATGGCAAAGTAAGCGAAGATCTCTTGTAACCATTGTGTTCACATTTTAATTTGTCAAACATTTCGTTGTTCGTCCATCCCTGAAACGAGTTTGTTAAAAATTAATTTAAATCGAACCTTTACAAGAAAAAGTAAAAAAACAAAATGTGCATACCATAGATTTCGAAAAATTCAAACCGATATTTCGAGGGTTCCTCCAAATAAGACCTCCTGGTCCTGGTTTGCCCCATGGCCCTGCCATAGTATGCTGGAAACAGATGTAATAAATAAACTTATATTATTATTTTAACCGTTCCTAGATGTTACTCACCATTTTACGTTCATATTCCAGGTTATGTCTGATCTCGTCTCTAATAACTTTATTTCTCTCGTCAACCATGTTATCTAAAAACATAAATACAATGAATAGACTTAAAGATGTGTCGACATAGCTCACACGCCGCGGGCGATTGTACGCATTATTGTATTACAAAACCATTTATCATCAACACATAAGCAGAATAGATAGATGTCACACGTCAGTTAAGCATAGACATACACGTACAAGTTAGAAATAGTACAAATTACTCTTCGGTTTAAGTACTTTCTAGTTTCTATATTGTTTATGTGTTAATTACCAGTAAATTACATAATTGACACATGTTAAATTAATAACATTTTCTCCTGTTTTCAAGTACTTATTAAATACGAGCAGTTGCCCGCAACTTCGTCCTCGTGGTATTAGAAAACATACGAACTATATAAATTACAAAAAGCTACGTATCCCTCGGGAACCGGACATTTCTCGGGGATGAGCTTATCCCATCTGTACTCCAGACTTTGTTTTATATCTGTGCAAATTTCAATAAGATATGTTGAACCGTTGCAGAATGATCGAGTAAACATTAAAAAACTAAATTAATGAATCCCACGGGAACCGTAACTATTCCCGGGATAAAAAGTAGCCTATGTGTTCTTACCGACTATGCTCTAAACCTGTGCCAAATTTCATGGAGATCCATTCAGCCGATTAGACTACAAACACTAACAAACATCCATCCATCCATCCATCTATCCATCCATCTAAACTTTCGCATTTATAATATTAGTAAGATAAGATTAGTAAGATGGATACTCCTAACCTAAAATTTCTTTATATCTCTTCTTCTGGTCTGCGGTCTGTTTGTATCGAATATCGTTGTCGACAGCGCGGCGCAGCTGCTCTGCAAAGAACAGCTGCGGGTCCTCGCGCAGGCGGAGAGGGGCGCGCGGTTTCCCAGCACGACGTTTAGGGGATGACCACCGACGCCACTCCTCATAGCCCGTTATTCCCTGAAATATCATCGTGTTTATCAAAAGTCTTGATAATTTTATTCCTCGGAAACAATTGCTAAACGATGATAATGTTAATATTCGTTTTTTAAACAAGTTAATCTGAAATCTTTAGGAAAATATTATTAAAATCAACAACAATCTTACACTTTACTGTATATATTTACCCTTTTCGGCTTTTATTTATAAAAGTGACATTTTATTGTTTGACCTTTAAGTTCTTATCGATAGGAAATATCAGTATAATTGCAAGGTATCGTGTAACAGAATACTTTCGGTTATGCGACATACAAGCGAGAATGTCGTCAGCGTACCCATTGGATGTTAACACACTTTTTAATCACTCTTATTACGTCATTAGTTACTATAAAACACAGAGCTACTGACCCTTCGCCTTATACAGATTTATTGCAATATCTCACTTAGTGTTGAAGTTGCTTGAATTTAAAAAATGACTGTGGGTGGCATACTGAGAGTCATGATATACTGGTATACCTAAATCCGTTGCTTACATACTGTTCAACTTATTTCTATGAAACGAACTTTAAAATTAGGTAAATTTTGATACTATTTTTAATTTTTGGTTCAATATGTTATAACTAATAATATATATTTTAATACTCCACATAAAAGTTACCTTCAGTTCGTCTTCAGGATAGATGCCGCGCGCTCGTATGTCAGTGAAACGGAAACCTTGTGGATTGGGCGCGCCACCGCCCGGCCGGCCCCATGGCTCGTACGACGCCAGCTCTTCGCGAGCCTTAACAAAACAAGTTACATAACGTCCTCTTCCTGTGGCTACAAAAATATACTTACTTGGTGAAAGAATTTATGAAATTTGCCCAGTACTTTTTGAGTTATTTCAATACCATCATACAAAAATACAAATCTTTCTTCTTTATAATGTTAGAATATATTTCAAACAACCGAAGTTGCGAGCAACATCTAGTAAAAATAATAAAATGTAGGTACTAAACAAGAAAACTTCAAAATGTTCTAAAGTTAAAAATAATTCTTAACCTTCCTCTGTTGTTCAATTTTCTCTGCCCGACGTTTCTGACGACGTTGTTGTGCGATTTGCTCCCCCTCGGCCCGCGACTTCGCCGCCGCCCGCCGCCGCACCGACCCTGACGTCGGCACGCTTAGCCTTCTGAAAACGCATACCGAGAAACATTTCCACTCTTGTCTTTCATTATTATCCAACCAATAAAATGTGATGGGCTAACGTCTCTGATGTCAATGCAATTGCCATTAAAGGGTCATATTCACGAAGTGTCGTAATCCCTATTTCTGGAATTAACTTTGTTCGATAAAATTGGCCAGGTTAATTTAAAAACGGGCTGCATTCACGATCAGTCGGACATATTCTAGAAACGTCGATAGCACGCACTTTGCGGGCCTCGTCTCGCGACCTGACTCATCACTCGTGATCTAATCTCACTAGAAAGTGGAGGATAACGTAACTTGCAAATTAAGTCGATCCTCTTTTACATATTTAGGCATACATTTTGTTATCTAAATTACTGATTTAAACCCAATTTATTATAAATATTGACTTTAAAAAACACTTTAGGAAATCATTAAAAGTAAGTTTAACTATTAGTTGACTAAATATACAGAAAACGGCAATTGATTATTATGCATATTTAAATATGAACTTTTCGAGACATAGAAAATGTAGTCGGAACAGATATCTAAGTAATCCTAACTTCAGACCGTAGAAAGCGAAACAACCTGATCTATTGCTAAATATAAAATACATAATATTATGAATGCATAAATGCTTATCGCTGTCAAACTCTTACATATCAATAAAGGATATTAGCATGATTATTGCTTAAGTTACATGTTAACATATTTTACTTATATTAAAAATCTTCTTTTCATTTCCTTAAAAAAATATTAATCAAAATACTTACCTTCTTAATTGGTGTGTCTTCAATGCAAACATTTATACATCGATTTTTCATAACCTAAACAAATTCGTAAGAAAAATTATAATCAGGAATACATTTTACAAAGTGTTAAAACATGTTTCACTATTATCACAAATGCTATGAACATAATTATCGATTTATCAACTAAAATCGACTAAAATCGTAGAAATCAATTGAACAATGTACTGTTTAGAAAGCACTCGCAATGGTTTTGATTGAACTTTCGCAAATAACTGCCAACTTCTGATTCTGAAACGACCTCGTGTAAATCGTGAAGGTATGCACGCTACAGGGCACGTTTTCATTACAACCAATGAGACGTCACGATACAATTTTCCTAAAAAAGATTTTTTAAGTTTTATTTTTAGAAATTTGAAAACTACCCTGTATTATATTATATTAATGTATACTATCTTGAATTTCATCTATTTCTCTATTCAATGACAATGAGAGAGAGAGAGAGAGAGTGTTAAACATTGGAGACTTACCATCAGTTTTGATATTGATACCCAAACGATACCAGAACAAACACTTAGTACTCATGCATCGATTAACATTGTATGAAATTCTATTGTATGAATATCTATTCAAAGAACGATTGCTTACGGAACTTTACATAATTTAATGTCTTATTAAAAAAAGTTAACATACCTTGACTGTGTGCCACATATTGTATTTACATTTTTGTGTTAACCTCAAATCAATAATAGATAAAATTACACATCTAACTTTCATTAACCAACTAAAACAGAGACACCATTTGTTTAAAGACCAGTTCGCATGAAAGCTAGATTTTAACTGAACACTTCATTACATTTAGCGCTTGATGAACCAACACGCTGCTCACACTTTATGTAAACTGGGGTACTTGAACAAAACACCCTTATTTAGGTCACCCTATGGACAGATAATGTAAATAAAACGAGCACTTTCAGCGTTAATTGAAGTATGCTTACAATGGCTTTAATCAACATTTATCTATACATAGTTATATTAAAATTGGAGTGTCTGTTAGTAATATTAAGAGAAAAATTCCAGATTTCAGGAAGATGATGTATTTGTGTTGCTGATAACGAAAATCACATTTCATTTTTTTTTGTCTGTCTGTCCGCCAGCCAAGTTTGTTCCGGGTTATCTCCGAAATGGCTGGACGGATTCCGACCGGACTTTCGCTGAAGAGTAGCTGACATAGAAGAGCATATTATAGACTACTGTTTTATCTTAAAGTTGCCAGTACGGAGTCGCGGACAACGGCTAGTTAGAAAATAATGGAGTAAAAGATGTGAAATACAATTGTTTTAAACAATCATATTTATAATTTTGTCGTGGTTAATGATAAACAATTGATTCAGTTATTACAACGCCTTATTAAAATTACCTGTACTTATTGAAATGACTGTAACTTTTTTTACATAAACCTAAAAGTGTAAAAATATAGAATCTAACGCTAATTTACTGAGATTTCCTATATATTTGGTAAAAAGCTTACATTCGGGGATGTCGCGACTGCCCTGTATGGAAATGCGCAAATTTGCTTAGTTAAACTTGTACAATACGCAATATTTTTTTTTGCATGCGCGACAGTCACCAGTGCAGAGTTATTACGAGACCCTTTTACTGCTATTGATCAAAGTCACGACAGAATATTGCATACTGTACAAGTACAGGTAATAATACGTGTTTTACTAACTACTAATAATTTTGTAGTGATCAAATATGACTATACGAAAGATTTATTCGATCAAAATCGTTACAAAAATAGTCTCTAACTTATAAGTTTAAGGTTTAATTTTGATTGTCATTAGTTATTTGGAGTGGCCTAGTTTTGAGGAGCTTCTAAAATTGTCCATGTCATTTTTGTGTTGGCATTTGTTTGGTCCTGCCGGTGCCGGGCGCGGGCGATCGATTGCCGCAAGCACGACCATTCGTTTCCTACATATCATAAATTACTTTTGTTAAGAAGTAGATTATATTAATAAGGTACGGATATTTACCTACTTTTTCATGCTTCGCGTAATTTTGAGTGTAATTAAGTAAACACTTTGCGAGGCTTACGTCTATCTTGATAGTGGTTTGGTGAATAAATAAACCCCTGAAATTTTTTAATAGCCATTTTTAAAAGTGAAATTTTGCTGGTTAAAATAAGAAGCTTCTCACTGATGTAAATAGCAATTTCAAATAAAATTGACTTTGTAAAGAAAAACGTAAGAGATGGAAGGATCTGCACATTTTATAAACACACGAGGTGTTAACGTGAGATAATAATACAAAATTTCTCATAAAATAAAGTTTCAGGTTGTGATTGATTAAGATTTATAGGAATTTGGAAAACAAATGCGGAACAAACCAGATTTGTTATTTCAAGCGCCATATTTAGTTCACAGCTATTGACTTGTGAACTCTATCGCTTCCAGAATCTTTTCTCGAAGAGAATCTTACAGTAACCATTTAACAATTTTAGTGTGCTGCTTTAACGATAACTAGAACTGCACTTTGTAGTATTTTTAGATTTTGTACTTGATTTAACTATAACAAAAAAATTAAAGTCTCTATTTTCTCTGATGATAATGATTTCTAGAGATGTTTACGTGAACGGTTGAAATAAAACGCAATAAATGAAATAAAACAATCATTTGTAACTAATATTTATAAAATAATTCATGATTTATCATTTTACAAAATAATCATATTTACAAACAGTATAATCTACATACATGACTAAATATGTATATAAATAAAATTCATTGACTCCCATTGTTTTTAACATTTAATGTACATGAAACATTCAACACAACGCTATATTGCAGAATCCGACACAATGGCCAGAGCCTTACGGGAAGATTCATGAGAATTAAAAAAAAAACGAAAACAAGAAAATGAAAAAAAAAAAAAAACAAACACACAACACAAAACAATAAACCGACACCGTAAGAATATGTATCTAAAAAAAAACATTATACGATGGGTTAAAACAAACTATCAACTAGAGCCTCTACATTTTTTTAAAAAACATTTTCTCGTAAAATATTCGAAACTAAAATTGAAACATAATGTAATTTCATTAATACATAAAATACTTAACACCGTCTCTCGTGTGTTGGTCATTATGTCGGTTTGTGCATATTTTATGACAACTTTTCAACCACAACTCACAAGTTGTATTTCAAACATTTCAATGTCAATAGAATGTCCAACATTACAACAAAGTCCAGCCTCTCTGGACATATAAATTGCATTATTTACAATTTTAAACTAAACGCTACAATCTTTAATCCATTAGTTACTAAGGGCTTCGACAATTTCATCTAGAATATTCATTGTGCACATTCGTATCAAAATAACAACTAAGAATTTAATACTATCAAAAGAACAATACACAGTACACATAATAGTGTTAATTGTATACTATAGAAGTTGAGGTAATTGGTTCATGAAGATACATCGGGTAACTTGTCCGATCACTTCCAGTATTTACAGAGCACAATATTTTTGAAAGGGGACAGGACTTTTAATGGAATTTATTCGTAATGTTCACAACTGTTTGTTAATTTTCGGTACAGGTACTTCACTAGAACTAAACCTAAGCGGAAAGATTGCACAAAATAATATAGAGAGATAGAATGGACATCAATTTATCGTCTATATACATTCGAAGTATTAAGGCAGCTCGTTTGATGTGTGCAGGTACGTTGGTACGTCGGTACATGGAACGTCTGTATTTTGGTACGTCTGTACATTGGTACGTCTGAACGTTGGTAATTGGTTCGTCGTTACAATAGTACGTTGGTACGTTGGTACATTGGTACGTTGGTACATTGGTACATTAGTACATTGTTACATCGGTACGTTGGTACATTGGTACGTAAGTACTTCGGTACGTACGAGCACGCAGCAGTATTTGGTAACAAGGAGTCACACGCTTATACTAAACCGACACTTTCAAATACTTTCAAACGATAACTTAACATAAATCAGGTCACACAAAAAGATACGAAAAGCGAACAAAGAAAAAATTTCAATTCCATATACTATATCTTTACATATAAATATTTTAATTTTTAAATATATCAATACACTAGACTACATATGTGTTTAGATTATAATTCTTGGGCACCTTTAACTTGTCGTAAATTATGTCAGATATATCGTAATGTCACACACACTCATACAAACATATTCAACTACAACAAAAAAGGTATCCAAAATTCTCAATACCTTTACTTCGGATAAAGGTGGTGCGATATTCGAAATACTCTTAGGAGCGCATATAAGTGGATATCAATTATATAACCCGAAGAGTATTTAGAGAATCGGGGAGTTCAGTAAAGTTGACTTCCGATGGTCGCTGTAACTTTGGATGCCTTTCTATAGGTATGCAGGGCTACTTGATTCTGTTGAGGACGAGGTCCGTGGTGAGGGCGAGCGCCTTCTGGTAGGGCGAGTCGGCGAGGTCCGCGGCGAGGCGCGCCGCCTCCACGCCGTGCTTGCGCGCC